TTTCCTGCTCCTCTGATGCTGCCTGGCCTGCTGTGTTCCTCCAGCTCCACACTGTGTTATCTCTTCTTTCATTTCTAACTATCTTGTGAATTACGGGTGCTATCAGAAAAAACATGCTTCTAAAATATTGCTTGCTGCACATTTAAAAGCATTCATTAAATGTTTTAATAATATATAATTAATATATATAATCAGTTTGTTGTTTACTGTGTCTTAATTTCAAATCTTTAAAGTTTCTTTTTAATTTTTGATTAATGTGGAACAACGATCGCATGCACACAGTAAAAATATATAAATTTGTAGCTTATGCACAAATGCACTTGTACGTTTAAAGTCGATGAGATTTGCAAGAGGAACCATTAATAGATAGAATGACTTTGACATTGCTATATAGGCCACCACAGTCGACTTAGGGGTGGCATCATTTCTGGATCAGATGGCAACAATCTTGACTCTGTTAAGTTAATTCCAAGCCAGTTAAAGAAGTATTAAATCAGGCAGTAATACCTTTCCTGATAATGGGTTTATTATAATATACAGCGTTATATATGTCTGCTTCCTACCACTTTGTCAGGCCAGGGCAATTTCTTTTTATACTATTTTACTTAACCAATGAAACCAAATTAAGCTAAATAAATAAGAGACAGCCCACAAAGAAGGGGAATTATAATGAAAGAAAATAAAACCTAAAATTTAAATCAAAATTTGTTTTTGAGGTTTTATTATGCACTATGGCCTGTATCTCTCTATATGATTTTGAAATTAAATTGATTAAACCAATTACACCAAATTTCAGGATGGAAACATGTAGCTATATGTGGAATGCCACAGTTATTTACAAAATATGTTAACTACTTGGATGACAGAAGTGCATGTACTATTGCCAATGACGCAAAAATAGGTGGAAAAGCAAGTAATGAGAATGGCACAAAGAGCCTACAGAGGGATATAGACGTGGTAATTGAGTGGGGAAAAAACTTGGTAGTTGGAATAACATTTGGAAAAATGTGTGTCTATGGCAGAAAGCATAGAAGAGCTGAATATTACTTAAACGGGGAAAGACTGCAGGAAGCTGCAGTACAGAGGGGTTTGGGGTCTTCATGCATGAATCACAAAAAGCTATCATGTACGTTCAGTGGGTAATTAGAAAGGCAAACGGAATGTTGACCTTTATTTCAAAAACAATGGAGTCTAGAAATGGGGAGTTCTTGCTAAAACTATACAAGGCACTAATCAGACCGCAACCTGAATACGATGAACTGTTTTGGCTCCCTTATCTAATGAAAGATATACGGGCATTGGACACAGTTCAGAGAAAGTTCACTCGGCTGATTTTGGATATGGAGGGAGCAGAAGGTGAGAGGGTTGGATTTGTAATCTTTGGAGTTTAGAAAAAAAGAGTAGACTTTATTGAAACATATAAGGTTCTTAGTGGCTTGACAGGATAGATGTAAGGAAGTTGTTTCCCCTTGTGGCAGAGACTATGACCAGAGGTTATAAACTCAGAGTAAAGGGTTGTCTATTTCAGTCAGAAATGAGGAGGAATTTCTTCTCTCAGAGAATAGTGAATCTATGGAATTCTATACCATAGAGGACTGTAGAGTGTGGGTCATTACATGTATTCAAGGCTGAGATAGGTTTTTAATCAGTAAAGGAATCAAGGGTTAAGGTGGTAAGGCAGACAAGTGGAAATGAAGATTATCAGATCAGCCATGATCTCGTTGAATGGTGGAGCAGACTCAGTGGGCTGAATGTTCACATGTCACATGGACATTTTCTCTAGTAACCCAGAGTGGACCCATTTGTGTTTTGAACTTAGGGTGAGGACAGAATTGGGCCCTGTGTGATGCCCATGGAATTGAAGAGTTTTGCTGCTTGCTGTTATCGATATTGGCAATATGTTGAACAACCATTTCACAAAATGGACAATACTAAATTGTGAACTATTCCCAACCAGTTGAGATGCAGTTCCTTCATTGTAGAGATAAGGGACAAAACTGAGGACCCCTCCTTTTACTGCGTGGGCACAATGTGAAAGAAACCAGTATAGTCACTTGCAGAGAGACAATGCAATGTTTTATTATTAGTTCAAAATTCAAAAATTAAACTCCATAATATGTGTGGAATTTAGTTTTAATCGGTTACTAGACTTCTTAAAACCAATAAGTCTTAACTTTGCAATTATTGGATAACAACTTTTAATTTTGTACCTGATCTTCAACACAGTATCATCTCTAGTTCAGTATTGTGATTTAGTGCTATGTGTGACCAAATAAAAGTCCTGTTCACTCTTCACTCCAGTTCTTGCTGACCTACATTGTTTCCTGGTTTGGCAGTACCACAGTTTTAAAATTCGTATTGTTGTGTTTCGTTCCTTCCATGAACTTGTACCTTCCCTATCTCTGTTATTTCCTCCGACCCTACAACCCTCTGAGATAGCTGCACTTGTTCAATTCTAGTCTTTTTCACGTCCCTGATTGGAATTGCTCCATCATTGGCAGCCATGCCTTCAGCTACCAATGGCCCAAGCCGCAAAATTTCCTTCCTAAATCTCTCCACCTTTCTACCTTAAATCAACTCTTAAAATCTACCTCTTTGACCAAACTTTTTGTCCGTATTCAATTAGCTAACCAGGTGAACTAATTGATAATAATTTAAGAAGTTTAAAGTTTCTGTTTATTTACCCTATTTCCTCCGGTGGGGATTGGGAACAGGATTGATGTGTAAAACAAAGGAATAAAATACATTTGACCCCTTAAGATAGAAATATTCCACTTCATTACATTTTTTTGGAGTTCCAAGATATCAGATAATGTCACCAATTTCTGCTAGCTTGCATTATATAACACCTTTAATGTAGATAAATGTCCCAGTACACTTCACAGAGCATGAGCAGACAATATTTAACTCTGAGCCACATAAAGCAGTTTTAGACCAGCTCTAAAGTTCGACACCTGACCCTCAGCAGCTTTTTAGGGAATAAGAATTTCAGATCACCATTACCTTTGGTATGAAGGGTTTCTTGACATCATCCTGGAACAGCCTGGCTCACATTTTAAGGTTATAATCCTATGTCCTGTCCTGTTGACTTCAGTCCTATTCTCAATACCCACCAGAGGAAATAGTTTCTTTCTATGTACCCTGTCAACTTTTAAAGTTATCATCAATTAATTCATCTGGTTAGCTTACAGAGTAATTCACTCTGATAGCAAACTTTAAAGTAAGCATAAGTCCTTATAATTTCACTGTACTTGTTGCAGCTGGTAATGATTCCCCTGCTAATGTAAATACGTACATATTTTAGGCTTTCCAATATTTAAAGTTAGTAGTGATTACAGAAAGCTAGAACTTCTTAAATACTCTTAAATTTGCATAAGTATATTTCCAAGCTTGAACAGTTTGGCATATATAGTGTTCTACTGCAAAGCAGAGGAGTCTTAGGAAGCTGGCAGTATTCTTGCACAGGTCATGTAGTTTAATTCAGACCACATTTTTGCATTTCAAGGTAATTTGAGTTCTGAGCAAGTCAATTAAATGATTTAACTAACAGTGAAGAATGGTGAATTGATCAATATTCACATGTATGTTATACTTGAGGGAGAAAATCGGACCTTGTAAAAGATGTTACCTCCAACGATGCAGCTTTCCTTTGTTTTTGGAACTGGAGTGTCAGCCTAGCCTCCTGTGCTTAAGTCATGAAGTGTGTTGAATACTTAATTCTTCTGTCTCAGGTATAAATGACACTCTGACCTAAATGTATTTCTGATTTCCTCTGTGGGGATGAGTAGGATGGTGTAATGCTTTTTGTTAGTTTTAAGTAACCTGTCAAGTGGAAAGAATTGAACAGTCTTGGGTCTTTTTCTCCAAAAAAGAGAAAGCTGAGGGATAACTTGATAGAGGTCCATAAAATGCTGAAATTCTTGGAAACAAAAGATGCAGGGAAACAGGTGTGCTGGAGAATGAGATCAAAGCCAGAGGCCATAAATATAAAATCATCATCAGAGAAAATCCAACAGGGAGTGGAGAAGAAACCTCTTTTATGCAGAGAGTGGTGAAATATGGAACTCCTCACCTCATGGAGCAGGTATGACAGTAGATTAGGTGCATATAAGAGGATAGAAGTTAGGTAAATGAGAAAGCAAGGGCCAGATGGACAAGGTAAAAAATTGCAAGTACATGGGAGATTGCGACTAATTGGTTTGCTTTTCAGAAGAGCCAGCACTGATTCAAACTGAGCAACCACATTTTATGCTGTGCTTTCTTCTGTTATGCTGATAGGGTGAAATGAGCAGGGCTGGCAAGAATCTCGTATGGAGCATAAACACTAGCATACATCAGTTTAATGGAATGGCCTGTTTCTTTGCTGTAAATGAATGCCCTATACTTTTTATGGGCTGTCAGTGTTGAGATATTTGTTGCTAACATGTTGATACAAGCAAATATAATGAGTTACACTCATACTTGGTTAGGGGAATTTTTATGATAAATTCTATCAATTAGAGAATGGGTAAAAGAACTATCTCTTATGAAATATCCTTCTTTATATTGCACTTTCAATTCTTTTCTTTCTATTTTACAGATAAAGCCCCCCTATCCAAGAGTCTTATGGTGATCTTAAGTACACTGGCCTTTGTTTTAACTGTACCTCTTCAGCAATACCAACAGTACTTCATCTATAACCTACAAGCAATAAAACAAGATCAACAGGTAAGTTCTGTGATGTCTTATTGAACAGTACTTTGACTGTCGTAGTTCTGAAACTGAGGTCCATGGAGACTTCTGAGATGCTGAAAAATAAGGTGCAAGTGGGAGTGGAGTGTGACTACTCCATCTATAGCATCAAGCCAGGAAGCTGGAGTGGAGGAATGTTGGAATAACGTGCAGGTAAATCCCTGCTTTCTTAAAAGATGTATCAATTTTTTTTAACAAGCTGCATTTTCATTTCATAACTACGTAGTGTTACAAATTAGATGGATGGATTCATAATTACTAATCCATTTCAGAAGGGGATTTTTCAAGCAAAAATATTTGAAAATCACTGACCTATTGAGCACGTAGTCAGAGCTTTATTGAAACAGGAGTTTGATAGAAGTATTCAAAATTGATGAAGAGTTTTGATAGAATAAGTAAGGAGAAACCATTTCAAGTGGCAGAAGACTTGGTAACCAAAGTACACAGATTTAAGGCAGAGATGGCAAGAACTGCCGATGCTGGAGTCAGAGATAACACAGTGTGGAGCTGGAGGAACACAGCAGGCCAGGCAGCATCAGAGGAGCAGGAAAGCAGATTTAAGGCAATTGGCAAAAGAACTAGAAGCTGGAACCCTTTACACGGCTATAAACAAAGAGCTGGGGAGTGGGACTGATTGGATAACTTTTCCAAAGAGCATGTTGGGCAGAATGAATGTGTGATTCTTTAATATTGAATAAGAATTTTTGAAATTAAAAATATGAATGATTTCAAAGAGAAATCAAAGATAATCGTGTATCAAAAACTTCCTGTACACCATGACTTAAATTATAAAGCCTAATGATTGGTATCAAAATAAATATTTTACCTAAAACAGATGTCAGTGTGAGTTTGTCCACCTCACCTGCTTAGTTTTGGCTATCAAATGTTGGATAAACAGCCAACTTGAATATTATGGCATCCTGCTAGAGTGTGTAATGTATGAATGTCACTTAAACTTAATAATTGATGGCATACATTCTGTGGGTAAATGTGAGAAAAGCTTTATCTTAATTGATGGACTCAACTTATATCATAACGTGCCAAATATTTTTGACCATTTTGAATCCTAAAGTGAAACATCAGCCTGTCACTCGGTAGTGCAGATTCATTATCTTATATTCAAATTACTAGACAGATTGATTTAAAACAAAAATTGGAATACATTGAGCATGGAAGTTCAGGTAACATGGAGTCTTATTTGGCCAATGGGCAGGCGTGATGAGGAATGATTTTTTTGTTATTTTGTTGGTTTTTGTCTGCTGAAATTCCTGTGAAGTTATTTAGGGGCATTTTCCATAAACTGTACAAATGCAGCTTGTTATTATTTAGAAAGTAATTGGTTAAAGTTGCACACCAGATACTTAAACCCACAACCTAAGAGAAGACTCTTAGTGCAGTGCTGAGGGAATGCTGCTCTGTTAAGGCATTGTCTTTTGATGAGATTTTAAACCTAGGAACAAGTCCATCGCCTCAGATAGATGTGAAAGATCCCACAACACTATTTTGAAAAGCGTGCAAACTTTGTACCTTAACCAATATTATTATAACAAATTATCTCATTACCATTTGCTGGACCTCATTATGCACAGTTGGTTGTTACATCACGTATGTTACACCAACGTCAATACTTCACAAATAATTCATTGGCTGTGAAGCACTTTGGGACAGCCTAAAGTTTTGAGAAGTGCAGTATAAATGTCGTTGAAAATAAATAATTTGTTTACACTGTATTTGCCCTAGAAAGGAATGATGGTGTGGTGATAACATAGCAGGTGGATTTGATGATTTTTCATTTTTACAATTTCAGAAATTGTCTAACACCTAAAGTTTGCACTGAATTTATTTTTATTCAAGAATATATTATAGAACAGTGTGCGCAGTAGAGGCCCTTCAGCCCATGATGTAAAATTATAAAATTATATTTATTGAAGGTAATTCTGTCTTTATTAGTAAAGCCTAATGGCAAATGTGAATAATTGCATTTTTCTGTGTATGGACATCTCTATTCCAAACAACTATTCTTTTAATTGATGAAATTATTATATTTCCTTCAAATTAGTATTACATAAAACCATAGTCTGGAGAGCTAGTGCGTTAATGCACAAGTTTGCTGCCGCACATCAGGATGTAAAATTAAAACAACTTCCCCCGTTTGGTTTGGATATCTGGTTAAATTGATGCTTTAGAATGCAAGTTGGGAGTATAAGAGACTAGCTGGCCTTCTGCTGAATAGTTTACAAAATTAGGTGACTCACCATGTTATCCAACAATCAATTTGGGTGAGGAGCAAGAAATTTTGTGCCTATTGTGTGTTTCATAAAATGTCCTGTATAGTGCCAAAATTGGTCTTTTGGGACCTCTGCTGGTTTTTATATCCCAGGTGAGCCTCCTTTCTTTTAGGTACATCTCACTTATCAAGATCATCCTCAAAAATATTTAACACCCCATGAAAACTCCAAAATTACTACTTGGTAAAGTAGATTTGTCCAACCAGGAATAATGAGTACAAAAATTTCAAGGCAGGAACAAAACCAATTGGTCCATCATCCTTGCCTCCTTCCTCCTCTTCCACTCTGTCTTCTCTCCCCATTCTATTCCTCCATCTTGTCTTCTTGCTCCCTCCCCTGTTTTCTCTACCTCCTTTCTCTTTTTCCCTTTCCTTCCTCCAGGTTAACAGATCGACATTCATATGTTGAATTAGGCACAAAAAATTTTTTGAGATTTAGAAGGGTTTTATTGTCAATCTATAGTTCAGCACAAATATTAGTTTCGACCTTCATTTCTTTAAAAAGGGAGGTAGGGAGAGAATCACAGACCAGTGAATCTGACGTTGGTAGTGAGAAGATGCTAGAGTCCATTATCAAAGATTTTATGGCAGAGCACTTAGAAAACAGTGGTAGAATCAGACACAGTATGGATTTACAAAAGGGAAATCATGCATGACAAATTTACTGGAATTCGTTGAGGATGTAACTAGTACAGTTGATCAGGTGAATCAGTGGATGTGGTTAATCTGGACTTGCAGAAAGCTTTTGACAAAATTTCTGCATAAGAAAATAAAATTAAAGCACAAGGGACTGGGGATAATGTATTGAGATAGGCAGAAAGAAAAAAAGAATAGCAAGCAGAGACCAGTGGGATACTGCAGGGATAGGTATGAGGACTCCAGCTAATCCAGCTAATATACGTTAATGATTTAGATGAGGAAACTAAATGTAATACTTCGAAGTTTGCAGATGATACAAAGCTAATTGAGGTGTTTGCATTGAGATGATGCAGAGATGTTGTAATGTGATTTGGACAGGCTGAGTGAGTGGCTAAATGCATGGCAGGTGCTGTATAATGTGGATAAATGTGAGGTTATTCACTTAGCAAAAATAGGAAGGCAGATTATGATTTGAATGGCTGTAAATTGATAACAGGAAATGAGTGTCCTCGTGCATCAGTTGCTGAAAGTAAGCATGCAGATGCAATAGACAGTTTTTAAAAAAGTAAATTGTTGGCCTTGATAGCAAGAAGTTTCAAGTAGAGTAACAAGGATGTCTTGCTGCAATTATATAGGGCATTGGTGACGCCACACCTGAAATGTGTGCAGTTTTGGTCTCCTTATGTGGTCTCTTATCTGGTCCTTTATTTGGTCTCCTAAGGATGTTCTTGCTGTAGCGGGAGTGCAACGAAGGTTTACTAAATTGATTCCTGGGATGGCAGGACTGATGCATGAGGAGAGATTGAATCGGTTAGTATTGCATTCACTAGCATTTAGAAGAATGAGGGGGGAATCTCATAGACAGCTATAAAATTCTAACAGGACTTGACTAACAGGACAGGTTAGTTGCAGGAGGATGTTTCCAATGGTGGGGGAATCCTGAACCAGGTGTCACAGTTTAAAGATAAAGGGTAAACCTTGTAGGACTGAGATGAGTAATTGCTTCACCCAGAGAGTGCTGAGCCTATGGAATTCACTACCACAGAAAGTGGTTGAGGCCAAAACATTATGTTCTCAAGAAGGTTGCTAGACATAGCTCTTGTAGCTGAAGGGATCAAAAGGATATAGGAGAGGGTGGGATTAGTGTATTGTGCTTGATGATCAGCCATGACGATATTGAGTGGTGGAGCAAGCTCCAGCGATCAAATGGCCTACTCCTATCTTGTATGTTTCTGAACACTTTGTCTACCCAGAACACAACTCCTCACTGGGGAAGAATTCAGGTCTGTCTTCATTTTGGAAAAAAAAAACCTCTACATCACCCAGTTAACTAATTAAGCAAATAAGAAACCCAGTCTATTTATTTATTTTGAAAAAAGTCTACCATCAAATCACCCAATTAACCCAATAAACAAGTAAATTACAGCTGTTGCAGTACAAGTAAACTACAGCATTGCCCACAAGAAGCAGTGCAACAACAATAATAACAATAGTGAAAGGTTGGGAAAATGAAGGGGGAGCTCAATCAAAAGTGTTGGGGGGTGATAATGCACTCCAGCCACCATGGTGCCAACTCTCTCTAAAAGTTTCGAGAGTGCTGGTGGATATCACGTGCACAACTCAGGTTTTTATTTTGCCTCCTACCCCATAAGTAGAAACATTACCACTGTACCACAACAGCTGCTTATTTAAAACCCTCCGTCAAATCATAAATTTGAGTGTTTTCTTTTAAACCCAACTGCAAATCACCCAGCTAACAAATTAAAACAATCAACAATTTGCAAGCACTGCCCATTAAATTAAAATAGAGTTGGAATGGGAGATAATGCACTCCAGCCACCCCATTCCCTTCCACCGATGCCTACTTTACTCTGAAGGCCTCAAGGGTATTGACGGAGACTGCATTACTCCTTCTGTAAGAACTTGAACATAGTCAAAGAAGTGGAGTGGGCAGTGGGGTACTGCCTGGACCTGTTGATGGCTACCTTAGCCAGGCCCACAAAGAGCTCCTCTGACCTGCCCACTCGCCTCTGCACTGAGGGAAACGAACATGGGTTATTTTTTTGAAAGATTCACCACAAAATCACCTGTTTCACCAATTGAAATAACAAGTTACAAGCATTGCCACCAGCAACTACAGGGAATCGTGGGAAAAGAAGGAGAGAACCAAATGAAAGTGGAGTTGGAGGGTCGAGGCAGCGAGAGGCAGGGCCGTCAATGGCAGAGTAATTGAAATTGGGATTCAGAAAAGGCCAGAATCAGTCTTAAGGAAATAACTAGATTTGTAACATTTCTTTCTGACTCCCCTAAATGATCAAACTTTGTTTAGGAGGTCACATAGAGTAGGTGGTCTCCATAAAAGCATTGATTGCCTAATCTTAGATATGATTATTATCTTAAATTTCTGATTTTTGATCTCTTTCAGGCATGGAGAGTCATCTCTGCTAGGATTATTTACCTCGACCTAAAAGACTTATTCTGCAGTTGCCTTCTAATATACAATTTTAGAATATTTGAAAGAAGATATGGTAGCCGAAAATTTGCAGTATGTATCATTTATTTAAACTTCAGTTTATTTGTATCATCAACGTAAATTAGAATGCTTTGTATCTTGTCTAGTTTCCTCATTCTGAAACTTGGATAGAAACGTTTTTCACCTTCCACTGACTGGGGTTCAGCCAAACCTGCTGCTCTTATTCTCAGACCAAGTCCTGTTAACCCAGTGGCCTTCATGCATGCTGACTCCAAGTCTGTCACAGATTTATTTTTGAAATGCTCATCCTTGTTTCCAAATCCTCTCTGGCTTTTCTCCTTCCTATCTCTGTAACTTCCCCCAGCCAACAACCCTCTAAGACCTCTGCGTTTCTCCAGTTCTGATTTCCTGTGAATCGCCAATATTAATCACTCCACTGTTGGCAGACCTGATTTCAGTTGCTGAGATTCCAGGTTTTGGAATTCCATCACTAACCCACTCCATATCTCTCTCTTCCTCTAAGACACTCTTTAAAATCTACCCCTTTGACTAAGTTTATGGTCACCTGTCATAATCTGGCCTCGTATGACTTGGTATCAAAGTTTTATTTGATTATAATCCCTGTAGCATCTTGGGATGTTTTAGTGCGTTAAAAGGTGCAATATAAACGTAGGTTCTTTATGATTTGCTGAAACTAGGAGATGGGGTTAGCCACTGACTGGAAATGTCACAGTATAGAATGAGTTCTGAGGAACATGTTAAGGTATATTGTTGGGGTGCAATGGAACAGAGCACGTTGTGTATGATCAGAGAGATCATGTTGCCAAAAAAAAAATTCCATTGCCTCACATCAAGTCAATGAAAATAAATAGTGTGTCAGTTGCTGTGACATTTCTGAAAAAGTTACAGTCCTACACATTCTGTTGTTTCATGCTCAAGAAACATTTGAATAGACTGATAACAAGATGTGTAGAACATGTGAAAACTGTAAAACGTCAAAATTAGCACAAGGTGAAACAGTGGCGTGGCAGCTACAGTACTATATTTCGCACGTTCAAACAGGAAACAGAGAAAAATTGAGATAACAAGGTGTAAAGCTGGATGAACACAGCAGGCCAAGCAGCATCAGAGGAGCAGGAAAGCTGACGTTTCGGGCCTAGACCCTTTTTCAGAAATGGGGGAGGGAAAGGGGGTTCTGAAATAAATAGGGAGAGAGGGGGAGGCGGATAGAAGATGGGTGGAGGAGAAGATGGGTGGAGAGAAGACAGATAAGGGTTGGGAGGGAAAAATGTCTTTGGTGGTAGGGTCGGATTGCAGATGGCGGAAGTGTTGGAGGATGATGCATTGGATCCGGAGGTTGGTGGGGAGGTATGTGAGGATGAGGGGGATTCTGTTTTGGTTGTTATTGTGGGGAGGGGGTATGAGGGATGAGTTGCGAGAAATGCGGGCGTTCTCGACCACTGAGGGGGGCAAGTTGCCATCCTTGAAAAACGAGGACATCTGAGATGTTTGGGAGTGGAATGCCTCATCCTGGGAGCAGATATGGCGGAGGCGAAGGAATTGGGAATAGGGGATGGTCCTGCAAAAACGCCCAATCCAAGTCCAATCCGACCCCACCACCAAAGACATTTTTCCCTCCCACCCTTATCTGCTTTCCGGAGGGACGACTCTCTCCGTGACTCCCTTGTCCGCTCCGCACTCCCCTCCAGCCCCACCACACCCGGTACTTTTCCCTGCAACTGCAGGAAGTGCTACACCTCCCCCCTCAACCCCCCATCCCAGGCCCCAAGAAGACTTTCCACATCAAGCAGATGTTCACCTGCACATCTGCTAATGTAGTATACTGTATCCGCTGTTCCCGTTGTGGCCTCCTCTACATTGGGGAAACCAAGCAGAGGCTCGGGGACCGTTTTGTGAAACACCTACGCTCGGTTCACAATAAACAACTGCACCTCCCAGTCGTGAACCATTTCAATTCCCCCTCCCAATCCTTAGATGATATGTCCATCCTGGGCCTCCTGCCGTGCCACGATGATGCCAACCGAAGGTTGCAGGAACAGCACCTCAATTTCCGCTTGGGAACCCTGCAACCCAATGGTATCAATGTGGACTTCACAAGCTTCAAAATCTCCCCTCCCCCTACCGCATCCCAAAACCAACCCAGCTCGTCCCCGCCTCCCCAACCTGTTCTTCCTCCCACCTATCCCCTCCTCCCACCTCAAGCCCCAACCCCATCTCCTACCTAGTAGCCTCATCCCGCCCCCTTGACCTGTCCATCCTCGCTGGACTGACCTATCCCCTCCCTAACTCCCCACCTACAGTCACCTTTACTGGCTCCATCCCCGCCTCTTTGACCTGTCTGTCTCCTCTCCACCTATCTTCTCCTCTATCCATCTTCTATCCACCTCCCCCTCTCTCTCTTTTTATTTCAGAACCCCCTTCCCCTCCCCCATTTCTGAAGAAGGGTCTCGGCCCGAAACATCAGCTTTCCTGCTCCTATGATGCTGCTTGGCCTGCTGTGTTCATCCAGCTCTACACCTTGTTATCTCAGATTCTCCAGCATCTGCAGTTCCTACTATCTCTGAAACAGAGAAAAATTGGCCTGGGTTACTGATAGTTGAGCTCACTGATACGTTAATTCACTAGAAAGAATTCTTTGTATACATCCCATTTTGCACATTCAGGCTTCTTGATGTGTTGAAGCTATTGAATAGACAGTGATAAAGTGGTAATGTCATTGGGCTATCTAGGCTCTTATTCTTGGGACATGGTTTGGTGAAATTGTAATTCAATAAAAATCTGGAATTAAAGCTAGCCTAATAGTGACCATTGCCAATTATTGTAAAAATGCATCTGCTTCACCAATGTCCTTTAGGGAGGAAATCTGTCACCTTACCAGATCTGATTTATGTGTGAGCCCAGACCACAGCAAAATGATTAACTCAGGTTCTTAACTACCCTTTGGGATGGCCCTAGCAAGCCACTTAGATCAAGAGCAACTATGTGTGGGTAATAATTGCTGGCAAAATTAGAAATTGCTGGAAAAGCTCAGCAGGTCAGGCAGCAAATGTGGAGAGAAATCAGAGTTAACATTTCAGGTCAAGTGACTCTTCCTCGGAACTGATGGTAGCTTGGAAAATGTAGGTTTATATGCAGATGATAGGGTAGGGGCAGGGGGTAAGCAGTAAACCATAGGTGGGGATAGAGCCCAAAAAGAAGGAAGAACATTTAGACAGACAAAGGAGCAGAGAAGAATCCAGCTGGGAGGGTGAATAGCTGTTAATAGGGACTGTTAATGGGTAACAATGGGTGGTGTATAATAGCAGACTATGTGATAACAAGGCCTGGTTTGTGGGGGTTGAGGTAAGGATATAGTAGAGCTTAATTGAACTGGATAGCCAGTCCAGAAAGCTGCAGGGTCCCCAAGTGGAAAATGAGGTGCTGGTGAGGACGCCCACATTTCGGGAATGAATGAAAAAACACAAAGTAGATAAATATGCAAGTTTTTAAAAAAAAAATCTTTCACCTTTTCTTTCCACACACATTTTGTGAATTGTAGTGGTTTGTTACCTTAATTGCAGGAAATAATTTGGTACTTTTTAAAACAAAAATTGGGATCTGGGTATCACTGACAAAGCCAGCGTTTGTCCTGCATCCCTAATTGTCCTTGAGAAGGTGATTATGAGCAATCCCTTTAACTAATGCAGTCTGTGTCGTGCAGGCACACTGTAGTACTGTTAGTGAGGAAGTGTCATAATTTTTCAGGATTAAAAGTACAGGCTTAGAAGGTGCTGTCAAAAAAATTTGGAAGGTTGTTGCAGTGCAACTTGAAAATCATAAAGATTCATAAGAATGTAGGTAGCGTGCACTGTTGCCATGCTGTGAGTTTGCAAGTCAAACTTGAAAAGTGTTGTGCTGTTCTGACCGTAATTAATTATTTGTGTTAATTATCAGTTGGCAACATTGAATATTGTTTCTTCATTATAGTCTTTCCTCCTGGGTTCCTGGGTGCTGTCTGCAGTTATGGACTTAGTGTTAGTGGAAGCCCTGCACCATACACTTGACATGTCTGTGAACATCTTGCCATCTGGTTTGTAAGTTAATACTAATTTGTTGTTTTATTTTGTTCCATGGAAATTACAAGCTACTTCTGCGTTCTTTTCACCTGATTCCCACTTCCCTAGTCTACTTCAAGATCTAAGCAAGTAATCTCACCTGACACAAGTGTAATAAACATGGGGTCCAGAATTAGAGGGGCAAAATCTAACAAAATAAGGCCAGGTGAGAAGATGAGGAGCAATTTTGAAAGTTTAGAATTCTCTATTACAGAGAGTTTATGGGTGCGCAGTTGCTAAGTATTTTTAAGCCCGAGATTGATACATTTTGGGAGTCAAGGGAGCTGGGGGATAATGGTGGAGAAGGCTCAAGTAATAAACACTAGGCCAGCTCCTATCTCTTGTGTTGTTGTGAGTGTTGTATTGCTGGGTTTTAGATGAGATTTTAAAGAAAGATTTGCATTTATATAGCATCTTTTGCTACCTTAAGATGTTCCAAAGTTCTTTACAACCTTGTGAAATGTAGTCACTGTTGTAATGTAAAAAATGCAACAGTGAATTAGCCCACAACAGCAGCAAGTTAATGGGAAGATAGTGTGTTTTAGTGACGATGCTGGCTGAGAAATCCAGTCAGGATTTCCATTGCTCTTCTTTACAATGTCCATGGGATTCTTTTATATCCATGTGTAGGGTCAAACAGGGTCACAACTGAATCTCTCAACACCCAACAGTGCTCAGTACTGCATTGGGATTGCCAGTTCAGAATTTTGTGTTCAACTTTCTGGAGTGGTACTTGAAACTTCAGGTACAAGTGCTACCCATTGAACTACTGCTGATTCTTCAAGTGTTAAGCCAAGGCTTGTACAGGTGAACATAGAATCATAGAATCCCTACAGTGTGGAAACAGGCCCTTCGGCCCAACAAGTCCACACCTACCCGCAGAACATCCCACCCAGACCCATCCCCCTATCACACACCTAATCTACACATCCTTGAACACTACAGGCAGTTTAGCATTGTCAATCCACCTAACCTGCACATCATTGGACTGTGGGAGGAAACTGGAGCACAAGGAGGAAACCTATGCAGACACGGGGAGCACGTGCAAACTCCACACAGAAACCCGGGTCCCTGGTTCTGTGAGGCAGCAGTGCTAACCACTGGGCCACCGTGCCACCCATTAAAGAGCTCATCATGATTTTTGATAAAAGGCATACAGTTTTGGTCATATTTAACTTTAGATGGATATTAGGGCCAAGGGCCTATCAGTCTTGCAGAATGAATGTTAAAAGATTCAATGAGATTATTTCAAAGAAGTTCTCTCTGGTATGCAAACCCATAATTTATCCTTAACCATCATCACTAAAGCAGATTATCAGGTAATTTATTATATTGCTATTTGTGTGGCCTTCCTATTATTTCTTCATTATCGTCTTTCCTGCTGGGTTCCTGGGTGCTGACTGCAGTTCTGGACTTAATGTTAGTGGCAAATGAGCTACCATGTTTCCTATACTATACCAGTGACTGTTCTTCACATAAACTTCTGTGACTACGGAGTACATTAGGGCATTGCAACTTTGTGAAAGGTGTTATATAAATGCAGTCATTCTTTAAATGACTCTAGAAATGATGCTCCTTGAATTTATTATAGCTCTGAAATCTATGACGTCGCTGATGATGGACACATTGCAAAATATTGATGCATTTTTCTTTGTGTCCCAAAATGGAGCTGAGATATAGGTAGGATATTGAGTATCATAGTATATTGAATTAAGTTCTGCTTATTTCAAATTGTAATATTGTGCAATTCACCTCCTTGCTGTATATAATTTTTCAATAAATCACCTTTGTGATGCAAATTCTTAAATGGAATTTTTCTGTGAAATTGTTGGTATCGTGTGTTGACTAACAGTCTTTGAGTACTGTATATTTGCAAAATATGCAAGAACATTCAAGTGTCAATTTAATTGTATCACACATTCCTGGTTAAACACATTATAAATGTGATCTTTGTTGTAATAGAATGTTCAACATTTTTCACTTTTGCAAAGCAGCAGCCAATGGATTTTCTGTTTATCTTCAACAGAGCTCAAACTAAATTACTGATTCTCAAAGACCCATCGGTGTGAGATCAAAAATTTATGTGGTTGGTAAAGGCCATTTAGACACTTCATCCTGCCAGCAATGCCTTACTGCAAACTTTCCCCATGAAAACAACCAGTGGTCTTTTAAATAGTTTCAGCTTTTATCGCCTTAACAGTTCCACTGAGAAAACTGTTACAACTGTCGATCTGTCCTTGTGTGGCAGAGATTCCCCTGAGATCTGCCTTAAATTTGTATTGTATGAGTTTGAACTCATATCCTTCAGTCCTGATTTTAATTTGAAGAACTGTTCCAGTATTATTTTGGTTCTACACTTCTGTTAAGTCCTACTTCCTGTCTAAGCTAAAAAATCGAAATATCATTCTTATATATACGCTTACATTAGGGATTAATCTTAATTTCTGCACTACCTTCAGGCCCTTGTGTCCTGGTGGCGATAACAGGATACATTGGGCCAAATCTTTAAAGAATGGTGAGCTGATGATGCATGCCATTATTAACATGTAAATCAGCCAGCAAATTCAGTGGATGAAAGGCAACAATATGAATAATAAACCTTGATCTTACTGCTTAGTTTGTATTACTATACTGTTTGCTTCTAACAAACAGCATCTCTCGCTCAGACTCCTTGTTATTGATAAGAACCTGCACAATTATTGCAGCTAAATAAGCCACAGAAAATAAGGGGTCATAATTGATTGCACAAATACCCTTTTACTAAGCCACCGTTAATGAATCACTTAATGTGATTTAGAGTTTAGAATGGCGAATCTCATTCTTCTAGAGATAAATTCTTCTTGTACTTCTAAACATTTTAGATTTTTTTGAAGTTATTTTCTATTGCTCGCTTAATCCAGTTTTCCTTTCTCATACTTTGTATTTCTTTCTGTTCTTGATTACACTTTAAATCACACTTCAATTTTATCTTGTTCAGTTAGGGAATCAAGTGTTATGGGAAAAGACAGGAATGTGGACATGAGGAATGTTGAATCAGGCATGATTTTATTGAATGTTGCAGTAGGCTTGGGGGACAAATGGTCTACTCCTGTTCCTATTTCTTGTAGTCTTATGGTCACACAATTTTCTTTTCCATCATTCTGTCTCTTTCTCAGTCTTGAAATCCCATCGCTTAAGGCGATAGATGGTTTGTCCCACTGAGATTGCGATTGTCCTGTTGCCCTCAATGCATTGATATTAGATCAAGTCTCAGTAAGGAGCCATTGAGTGAGAGCTCATTTATTCAAGATTTGAACTGAAGAGAGCATTGTAGGTGTTACATGTCACCTGTTCTGACTTGATGATCCAGTAACATGATGGTAAATAGTTAAATTACAAAGAGGCATCATTTCAGTACCAAATATTCAAGAGCTGTGTAAGCATTTATTCAGGTTAGACTTGGTGAGAGCAGTTTAACAGAGCATTTTATAGAATTACATTTGCCTGAAGCCCTGACTGACTTTCTTTCTTTCACCAGCACCACCAGAACCGATAAATTGGTCATTCTTGTGGTTGTGTGGGGTGCGACACGCTATTGCATTTCTATAGTCACCCCTCTTCAAAAGCATTTCATTGTGCAACATACTTTGAGTCAATGGAACGTGACAGGACACAACATAAATGCAAATATTTTTCAATTTTCTTGTTTGGATTAAAGGTGTGTCTCATTGCCTTTCATTATTTACATGTCACTGATGTTGATGTTGCTTAATGAACGAAAGCTCCCAGTTCTAAAGCTTTTCCGTCGTACGCTCCGCAGATAGTTCCGATAGTAGATGACACTGATAACTCTGGCCTGAAAGTGCTTTGACACTATGTAATACAGAATTATGTCAAGGCAAGTGCTGAGATTCATCAAGAATGTAGTGAAGGCAGCCCAGGGATTGAAATCAGTGTGGCCGCTTTGTAACAATAATAAAACAAAACAGATATGATAGGGAACGAAACAAACTAGCACTTGAACAATGAGTGTCACAATTATTTTGATAGATTTTTCTTTAGTTTTTGGCTTCAGTTTAGATGTTTTTCCTTTAAGAAGACTGTTGATGATGATGCAGTAACAACCAATCATAATGAAAAGGGGCAGGAGAAAAAAGAAAATCACCCGGATAAAGTTCACACTGTTTGCTTCTTTGAGGTGTATGATGTCGAGCATTTTTAGGCAGGTTGTGAAGTTTGACACCTTGTCTGGATCATTTTTTGGAAACATAAATGGCAAAACAGAGACAATGGTCATTATCCAGATTCCGATACAGCTTGCTGCAGCTTTGCCAATATGGCGTAGTTCCTTGCTATGTTTGGGTTGGACCACTGCCATGTAACGATCAACACTGATGAAGGCTAAAAGCCACAGAGCAATGCTGGGGTAAAATATAGTGAGGGCAGCATTGATGCGGCAGAAGACGTCACCAAACGGCCAATAATTCTTCCCATAGTATATCATACGGAAAGGCAATAATATTATGAAGATGAGGTCCAACAGAGCGACATTTGTCATATATATGTTGACAGATGTGCCTTTTTTGGTAGTGCAGCTGAAGACCCAGATAGCGGTCATGTTAACAGCCAGCCCAATTAGGAAAAGAATGCTGTAAAAGATGATTGCCCCTATTCTGAACTCCGGGGGCTGCAGATCCGCGAGGTCATTGTTCTCAAATTGCATGTTTAGAATATTGGTTTGCCACTCTCATAGCCCTAGAGCATAGGTGTAGGAACAAAAAAGAAATGAATGTTCACAAATGCTCTTATATAGAAAGCTTAGCCAAAGAAATGTTCCATTCTGACATTTATGCTTCTCACATATCTCTTCCTGTTCCTGTTCCATATCTGTTTCTTCTCCTCTTCATCCCACCTATTGGTAATTCCCTCTATTCCTTTCTTCCTCATGATTTTTGTATTTCCTGAAAATTCATCTATGCTAGTTGGCACAACCATTCCATATTGTAGAAAGTTTCACAATCTCTTCACCTTCTGGCTAAAGAAGTTTCTCCTGACTCCCCAATTGGATTAATTATGACAATCTTAAATAGCCCCCAGTTACGGTCTGCTCTTCCCCCAGGTGGAAATCTCTTCTCCAGGTGTTTCCTGTTAAAACCTATTCATAACCTTAAAGAACTCCATCAAGTCACTCTTCATTGTGGCTTCACTTTTCACAGCAGCGGATTCCAGCCTGTTCAGTCTAAATTAAACTTCAGTTTTATTAACCCAAAAAGCTTCCTAAAGTAAGAAAAGCTCCTCTGTCATAATCCATCCTCATGCTCCAAGTTCATATCAGAGCATTTCAAACAAATGAATTAGCTTTGAAGTACAATCAAAGTTTTTGGGTCAGCAATGGTATCATCCAATTTGTTTCTAGGTTCATAATACAGCAAAAGCAGAGTAACAAAGCAAATATTGGTGGTGATCAAAATTAACAGCTGTAAAAGTAGAAGGTTCTCGAAGCAAAACCACCTAATGCTACAAGCATACATCCTGTTGTTAACACAATTTTTATGTGGAGCATTTACAGACACCACCCTGTCAGCCAATGAGATGGAAGCAAGGGCGGGCCTTTTGCCTGGATTCACGGCAGACAGTCTATTTGACACCAGAATCTATGGAAGAAGAATGTGTAGCTAACAAAACAAAACAAAAATTAATAATCACAGTGAAGTCTCTTGTTAAGCACACCAACTTGTAATCTTGTAGTCCCTCTAAAGCAACATTTAGATTATACTGTCTTCCTACATTATTTCTTGTTGATTTAAATTAAAATCTTCAAACTCATGACTGAAACAGTACCAAAGTCTCCAGGATTATTTCTCTAGCAAAGTATTGAGTGTGTAGAATAGTTATGTAATGCAAACAAAATAGGTAAAGTCAATCGCAGTTACTTACAGCACAGTGGTATCCCAGTGTGTTTGGTGGAACTATCCAATCATATCCGCCTTGACTAGGATGTCTCCATGGGCTGAGTTTGTACTGTGAACAGTAACTTGCAAATTCAGTTTAAGGTAATAGTTAGTGTGTTATTCTGTCTGTGTTACTTAGATAGCTGGTCATTGGAGTGGCAGGGTTGTTGGTGGTGGCAAGAGCACTTGGTTCAGTCTTAGACACCCAACTGTTTACTGGAAAATTTGATTACCCATAAACTGTTGCCCACATTTTCTGACAGATAGTGACTACTGCCGAATTGGTCCCTGTTAAGCATGACTGCGTGAGGGAGCTGAGGTAACATTTGAAGAGATAAGAATTATGAATCCAGCTTTGGTTCAGCATTAATCTTGTTAATCAGCAATTGTCTGAAGATTGAACAGAACATATAGAAAACAAAAGACATATAATTCTGATCTTATCAAAGAAAGGGTTTCACAGTACATTTTTAAAAAAGCTTGTTATCTTTCATAAAATAGCACCACAAGTGAACCAGATTGATTTGCAATGTCAGACAGATTCATTTTGCATTGGATTGTTTGGCTCACGCAGTGAAGTGAGTGATCGCTGGTTCTTATTGTGTATATAAACTGCTTTTGTAAAGCAATGTTAATTAAACTAAGTATAGAAATGAAAACACATTCACCGGAGAGACTCTAAACTCTCAACATTGGATTGAATATGAATGTTGCATTGCTGCTTTTGGAATGATACAATACAGAAGGAGGTAATGGGGCCCATTGTGTTAGTGCCGGTTCCTTCAGAGAATTGTCCAATCCTTATCAATACTTTAATTGAACAGATGTTGATAAACGAACAAGTCAAATTTCAGGGAACTTATCAGGCTACAATTGCAGTAG